TTTGGGTTCCCAGGTACAGCAAGCAACAGTTTGACCAGCTGTTTTGCTATTGCTTGTCAAAGTGTGTTGGCTTTCTAGCCTGAGGTGATTAAATCTTCGCCGCCTGCCCCATCATTTCCTCCACAGCGTCAACTCCATATTTTAAGTTCTGTTACTTACAGCTCCCTTCATTCTTTAAAAATGACTACATTAGTCAGTGTTCTTAGTGGCAAACAACAGAATCCACTCTGGTTAGTTTATGCAGAAAAAGATTATTCCACAGACTGTTAGGTCTCTTGAGAATCTTTGGAGAGATCAAACAGCCTGTGAAGATACACTGCAGGTATAATGCAGGTATAATTATATTGTAGAGCTTCTTTGGAGTAGACACCATTGCCACCACTGATCAATACTTTTGTCCCTCAGGAGCGAATACCAGGAACTCTATATCAAAGGTTGGAAACCACCACCATTATTGCCAGAAGAGCAATTCCCCAGAATACAGACACTATCACTTTGCTCACTTTTGAGTTCACATCTTGTTTGAATGTAGGTCAAATACCTGGACCATAGCTATGAAGCAGTCTAGGAATGTTAGTTGTCTAGGTTCATCCTTGAAAGAAGCATAAAGAAGCATAGAGCTAAATGGAAGGAGACTATTCAGAGATGCTGAGTATCCATATATGATGACTTTCCACACCATCTTAAACTAAATCTCTGTTCTACATCCATTACAAACACCCTCATCCTTCATGTAATTTCCAGTATTTGAAACAGGAGTCTCACCACTGTCTTTACTCTGTGGAGGGCAAAATATAAGTTGCTGATAGTTTTAAAACCTAAAACAATGACAAACTTTATTTTTTTCGTTATTTCTCAAAACTAGCTCTTTAGAGAAAGATAAAGTAGAAGTTGGCCAGTCTTCATGGGAAAAATTTTTAAAAAATTTAAAATTCAATCCGTTAGTTGTAACAAATGTTAGTAATGTGAGATATTAACCAGAGGGTAATCTGGTGGGAGGTAGAGAGAAACTCTGTACTGTCATTGCAACTTTTCCATAGATGTAAAGTTATTCTAAAATTAAAAGATTATTTAATTAAAAAAAATGAAAAACAGAAACAATAAGAAATGAGAGACTCAAACTCCCTCAGCAAAATCACAAGTATGACTATAGGAGGTATGTGATTGATGATTATTTATATTTTTCTTGCACCCATTAATATCACATATTTTTACTTTGATATTAAAAGATTTGGTTGAGTGCATTATCTAATCTCGCTAAGCCTCAATTGTGCCTAGTCCATGAGTAGGTACTAAATAAATAATGGGAGACTGGATGAATGGAAGGAAGTCTGGATGAGGCAATATTGAAATCATGAGGTCCTGATATAAAAAAAAAGACACAAACCAGATTTATGAAGAAACAATAATGGAAATGTGAGCAGGCATTTGGAAGGTGTGTTTATACCTGGTACCAAAAAAAGAGCTATTTCTAGCAGAAATTTTGAAAGAAATAAGTATTGCTTCTATTTCTTCTTGCTACATAATTAGTGTGTGTGTCTGTGCATTTACGCATATATATTTATAACCTACATATATAGAGAAGTTATACGTACATATATATGTGTACATATGTTGTTGTTAGGCACTGTCAAGTCGGTTCCAACTCATAGCAACCCTGTGTACAACAGAACGAAGCATTGCCCAATCCTACGCCATCCTCATAGTCGTTGCTGTGCTTGAGCCCATCGTTGCAGCTGCTGTATCAACTCATCTCATTGAAAGTCTTTCTCTCTTTTGCTGACCCTCTACTTTACCAAGCATGATATCCTTCTCAAAGGACTGATAACATGTCCAAAGTACGTGAGACAAAGTCTGACCATCATTCCTTCTAAGCAGCATTCTGGCTGTACTTCTTCCAAGACAGATTTGTTCATTCTTCTGACAATCCATAGTATATTCAATATTCTTTGCCCACACCGTAATTCAAAGGCATCAATTCTTCTTTGGTCTTCCTTATTCATTGCCCAACTTTCACATTCATATAACATGATTGGAAGCACCATGGCTTGGGTCAGGCACACCTTTGTCTTCAAAGTGACTTCTTTGCTTTTTAATACTTTAAAGAGGTCTTTTGCAGCAAATTTATCCAATGCACTACGTTGTTTGAGTTCTTGACTATGGTTTACACCTTGCTTTTATAACAAAAACTAGACCCTCAAGGAATTCTTCAAAATGAGACAAGATATTTTATCTTGTTAAATAATAAATTCTAAATGCTTACCAAGCTTTATTATCTAGAGATTGCTATTTATTGTATGTGTTACTTGCAGGTAAAATACCTATCTTACAAGAGTTTATGGAGAATGAAGGAGATAACGTCTTACTACAATTAGTATAGTGGCAGATACATAGTTTTATTACCTTAATTTTATAGGAAAAGAAACAGAATCATAGAGGTTAAATCAGTTAAAAATAGTAGTTCTCAATCCTATCAGATTCAATGTTCTCTTTTTATAAAATAATTCATAATGACCCTTTTCTGTACTGAGACAAAATAATATATAACATAACCTGTCTACAAACATATCTGCAAAAAATCAATATAATGTCTCAACTGTAATACAAAAGTAGAAGCATTCTAACTTGTCTGTCGGTATGTAAAGGCCCAGACACAACCATCCCAGCGTACCCGGTTTAGTAGAGTCGGCGCGAATGTGACCGTTTCAACTGCGGACTGACACAAACACCTTGACTCCCTACTTAGTGTAGTTTTGATATTGGTGATGTAACCTTTCAGAATGAAGAACAATCTTTAGTAAAGTTATAAGCAGGAACAAAATCTTCCTGTGATTAGCAATTTACATATTAGTTGCTTTCCTGAAAATGTCAGTGTCTATTAAAACATGCAAAAGTCATGGTGTTTTTTATATAAAAGACTTAGGTTTCAGGCTCAGATAATTATCAATGGGTTTTGCACCTTCATTAATGCCTGATGGAACATTTCAAATTGTGCAGAACTGTCCTGTGTATGGCAGGTGTCTAAATCCCTGACCTCAGCCCACCGAGTACCAAGGGTGCCCCTCAGTGTTTAGGACAACTGAAAATGCTCCAGAAAGCCAAAATGCTCTGTGTTGAGAACTCCTGAAATAGGTAGAAATGGTGAGGCTGGGATTTGTACATAGGCTTGTCAGGCTCCAGATCCTATTATGTATGCTATATGATCTTGCCCCATAGGTTAATGGAAGAGACATCATACTTTTAGGGTTTCTTAAATTATTTTTGTACCCTGGGCCCACTCGGAAATCTGGAAAAGACTAGGTACCTCCTTCTTTATGTGTATTAAATACATAAAACAAAATAACTATAATTTATATTCTTTTCAATTCTATGTATCAGTACAGTAAGAAGTATAAATAATACTTCAAGATCCTTAACACTTGTAATGTTATATGTAAGTATCTGTGGTTTTACTGGGGACAAAATCTTATTGTTAATACTGCCCGTATTTGTAACTGTTTGTTGCTTATTTTCATAACTGAAGGAAAATAAAGATGAAGTTCTTCTTTGTTTTTCTTCAAATCCAAGTTCAGGGACCCTCTGAACTCATCCACAGACTCCAGGTAAAAGAGCCCAGTGCTAGAGTGAACGCATATACAGAGCTCAGGGCTGATCATGATGAACTGCGTCAATAAGCTGGAGAAAAAGTTATGTAGATGAAATGACTAGCTAACTCTTAAAGAATGATGAGTTAATAGGCAGAGAAGGAAGATAGATGCATTCTAAGCATTGGGAAGAGTGTATACAAAAGTCATGGGTCAGGAAAGACCATAATGTATGTGGGCAATACTAAGCAGTTTTCTTTGACACGGGGTGGGGGGGTCCAGGAAATCTGGAAATGAGGGATGGACTAGAATGTGCAGTTTATTTTTTATTTTTCTGTACCTTTAGACAAGGTGTCTTTTTTTTTTTTTAAATTGTACTTCAGGTGAAGACTTACAGAACAAATAGTTTCTCATGAAACAGTAGTACACACATTGTTTTATGACATTGGTTAACAACCCCACAACATGTCAACCCTCTAACTTCTCAACCTTTTTTTTTTT